TGTGGCACGAGACAGAGGCCGGTGAGCTGGACATCATCGTCAAGCTCCATGTCAGGAAAGAGAACTACATGGTGAGGAAGCTGCCGGCGTTTGGGAGTTTACAGGCCGAGACGGCAGCAAGGCCCGTTTGCGGGCTGCATTGTGACGCCGGGACCATGCTGCATGGAGACCAGCTGCCCCCGAGGTAGACGGGTGCAGGGTCACCCAGCCGGGACGGCATTCACACTCCACCCTCAGTCTCTGTGCTAATCGACACAGCCCCCCCCACCATTGAGCCCTTGCCCCACCTCCCGGCTTCCCCCCCCCCAACACACATTCACACAACTTTGTGTCCCCCGTGACCCAATTTAGAAGAAGCACGGTGCTTTCTGTCCACTGGCACTGGTGTAGTACCATCTCCTCGGTAGTGGTCCCCACCTGTCACATGGGAGACGGGTTCGACTCCCTGATGGGGACACCGAGGATCCTTTTTGTAATTTATTATTTATTGTTACTGTTTATTGCTCTCAAAATGCCACGCTACAGTAAACCTGCGGATTAATAAAGTATCTATATATCTATCTATCTGACAACAGTGATGCCTGAAAGCTGAAGCCACACAAGCCCTCAGAGTCACTCTCAGCCGTGTCCTTCAGTCACCAGACCGCCTCCAAACTCAAGACGCACTATAACAATAAAACTGTACAGTCAAGTCAAGTTCGCTTTGTCACCAACACCCGCTTCATCTGTTTCACCGGCTGGGCTGAGGATGTATTCATGGTCTGCACTCTGTGACCATAAGCACAATAGTTTAGTTTTAAACATATTTAAAACTCCTTAAACATTTATGATTGAAAGTAAATGCTCTTGATGGGGATAGGGCTGGTTGACGTGGCTCCATCTTTGCTTAAAATTCCCTTAGGATTTCCCTTAAACAGACTGAGAACATGAAAGAAGACGACAAATTCAATGGGCTGCAAAACGCAGTCTAATATTATTGAATAAATCAAACGGGAATAAACATTTTTGTCGTAGACTGTAACAGGAAGAGCCAGCAATATGATTTGTCGCTGGGTTTTATTTCTCTCGCTGCTTTGATGCCTGTTCCAGGGGGCAGGTTTGTCTTTGCTGGTAGAGTTAATGAAAAGTAAAACACTGTCCCATTTTTAACCAGTACAGGATGTGGTTAATCATATCTTTCTTCCAAGCCAAAAATATATAAACAATACTCAAAATGATTTGGGCTGCATAAAATCATCGTATATATAAATATTAGTGTCAGTTAATGGTTTCATGTAATATCTGATAGTATCTGACGAGTAGCATCTCGGCCTGGGTGTAAACTGATCTTTATCTCAGAAAGCAGCCTCACTCATGCGATGGCTGTCTCTGAGACCATGGAATCTAGCGTTTCTTTAAACGTTTGCCTTTTTAATAATAAACCCAAGTATTATTTGTGAATTTTCTCATTCATGGGGAGCTTCCATCTCTAACTCTCGCATATGTGAGGGAGTGACTGTATTTCCAGTTTTATTTGGGACTTGTTTTTGGCAGCGTTTACACAGCACCAGTCTGTCGTGTGTCGTGGTTTGAAGTACTGCTGCACCACCAACCTCCTTTTACCTTGTTTATCCACAATCTCTTTTTTAAAAATACGTTATGGATTTCTTCACTGACACCAGAGTTAACTCTGAGGGAGTGTTAATCTCTTCCATGATATTACATAAACAATAGCATGTGCCGTGCTCCGCTAACTCAACCAACCTTGCTCTGTGTTTGTTGGGCCTAGGTTGTCTGACTGCCTTTGATTGGTTGGAATTGCTTTTGTTGCTGTGATGTGATAGGCTGATTTGTGCTGTCAAGCAATGTTGCTTATCAACAGTTTATCACCGTTTCTCATTTTCTTATTTAATATTTTATATTAGAGTCAATATGTCATTTATATCACTCACCCTAGATGGGGGGCCCCTCACAAATGCCCTCAAGAAGTCGTCTCCTGGGAGACACCATATAGCGCCCCTAGGAGGAAGGGGGGAAGTAATGCTTTTGCGTTTCCCTTCACAGAAAATGCTGATTGGCCAAGGGGGTCACATGATCGCCAGGATCGCTCGCGAGGCCGCTGAGGATCTGATGGATGTGTTCCAGCGTGTCGTCAAGCTGAAGCTCTCTGTGAAAATGGAAAAAGTGAAGAAATGAAGGGATGTGGAGAGAGAAACGGCAGATTGGCAGGCGCTGTGGGCGCCGTGGTGGATGTCTCGTCCTACACTCGGAACCTGGGTGGGGCTGCCAGCTCTGCCCCCCCCCCCAGGGTGTCATTCCAGACCTGGGGGGGGGCAATAACCCAGCCCCCCGTCTCTTTACAGATAATGAAGCTTTATGTGGGAGCACTGTGACATGTTCAGTATTAAAATAATTGACTCATTGATTCATTTTTTCATCCTTGGAGTTGAGACGACCAGCAAAGATGCGTCTAAACTGACTGCCTCTGGGGGAGGGGCTGCAGATCAAGCTGCGTCTCTCTGGGGTGTGAGTCTGGAGCCGCTTGAAGGGGGGGCTGAGTGGGCGGGGCAGCATCAGGAGCCGTGGGGGGTGCTGGGGGTGGAAAAGGTGGCTTTTATCTGTCTATGCAGTCTTTGGAATCAGCCCATTAGCAGCAGGGTCTTGCTAACATGGACCCCAGGAGATAAACAAATGGGGGCTGAAACTGTCCCCCCCCCACCCCCCGCGTGTCTATTCATTGCAGAATAATTAGCCAAGTACTATTGATGGGGAAAAAGTTGACCAGACTTATAAATGTGAATTCAGAAGTTTTCTTTTGCTCCAAGTAAATTTAGAGAGGAAATTTTACATTGGTCTGTCACGAACAAAAATAAAAGAAAAACACTTGATTATCACTGTGCATAATTATTAGGCAATCAGAATTATTCTCTCTTTTATAACAGAAGTTATAAAAAAAGTTGTATGCCGTCTACATATGAAATAAACTCCTGGCTGTTCTATGCAGCCCCTTCACCAAGCTTAATGTCCTGCAGAGCCACCTTCTCAGTGGCCATCAGGAGCCTTTCGTCATTGAACCAGTCAAGTTCTTCATTTGATTATGTCCTATATTAGCTGAGGCTGCGAGGACCCCCTCCCAGATGCTACTCTGAGAAGCCTACTGCTTGCCACTTTGGTAAATCTCACACTTCAGTAAGGCCCTGCAGTTCTCTATGGGGGTTAAGTGAAGGAGGAGCCAGGTCATAATTCAATTACCTTTCAGGCCCTTCCTGGCCAATTTATGGACTACTTTGATGTGTGGCAAGGGACACTGTCCTGTATGAATATCATGACCTTTTTGAAAGCTACTGAATTATTCTTGTACAAGTGTTTGAAGAAGCTGTCTTCTAGAAATTGGCAGTAGATCTTAATTTTTGCACCATCAGCCAATCGGAAAGGTCTGATACGTTCATCACTGATAGTTGCAACCCATCATTACTTCTCCACCACCTTGTTGGTGCTTGAAGAAGGTGTCCATCCATGGGCCCATCCATCTGCTCCATCAAAAGCCAAACTCATCTGTCCTTTGTAAAATAGACATATCCCTGCCCATTCTTAATGTTTCAGTTTGTGTGCCTTATTGGTCATGTTTTAACTTCCGTGACCTTAGCAATGTCACTTAGCCAGTTGAGTATAAAGAGTTGGTTGAAACTATAACCCGGACTGGATTTTTACTTTCTGGACCTGAACTATCCTCCTCTGTTGGCTGCTGATTTCTAACAGCTACCCCCCCCCCCCCACTGAAGGGAGACCAGCGCAGCCTGCTGTCAAAGATGGTGGGCTTTTATATTTTAATGTTTTAAAACTAAATGAATGTCATTGTTTAGCTTTTGCCGAGACTGGTGAATAATCGTAAAAGGAATATTGAGAAATTTCGCATGAATAATTTCACAGCTGTACTTACCAAGGACTGGGTGGTTAGGTCTGAAACTGCAGTTGTTCACTTAGCTCATTTGTTTCCTGAAACAATAGGGAAATGACATACAAGTAATTGCATGGCACTAGAGGCTAATGGTCATGTGCTTTTATTGTTGTTTGTTTATTCACAAGTTTAGCTGTATGAAAGTGGAGGCAGACAGGTGCCATTTGGTGTCGATCAGCTGCCCTCTGAGGCGTTTTCCCTTCACCCCACCCTCCTCTCAAACAGCTCTAGGCTCCCACTGCCATTTCAGACCATTTCAGATCATTTCAGACTATTTCAGATCATTTCAGTTGGCTCTCGGAGCTCTTCATGCTTAGCCTAGGTACATCCTTGTGCAGATTAATTAAAAGAAGTTGTTGGTCTATATGCAGATGGACTGACTAAAGTTAAGACAGACATCACAGTCACACTAAGTCATGCCCATTGCCTTGGGTTCAGATTTCGGACCTGGTGGATTGATTAAAATTGTATGCCAGTCCATCGCAGGGCACACACACCATTTTCACTTATGGGGAATTTGGCTCCAACTAACCTTAGCATGTTTTTGGACTGTGGGGGGAAACTAGAGAACCCAGAGGAAACCCCAGAAGGACATGGGGATGCAGCTGAACCCCAGAGCATTCACCTGAAACACATGGATGGCTGAAGCACAATCATCCCACCCTGCTGTAATCCCACCCGAGCAGGCCTGCCAGTCTGTGGGCACAGTGCCATCTCTGTCCATCCACCTAGTCACACCACCCAGCTCTAATCCCACCCGAGCAGGCCTGCCAGTCTGTGGGCACAGTGCCATCTCGGTCCATCCACCTAGTCACACCACCCAGCTCTAACTCCACATCATCTTGGATCCCCAGAATATAACATTATGTGTTAAGACAATTCTAAGTGTAAATTTAGAATTACTTTGAAAATGCCATTTGAATGTGACATGAAAGGCATCTTATATGTCAAGGCTTTATTTTTATGCAAGTCTTCTCTTTGACAAAGCATGCCTAAAACACAGGGAACACAGAGAAGAGGTGGCCCCCCCCCCCCCATAAGCTGGGTAGTAACTTTGAAGCAATCAGTTGAACATCTTTTATTTCCAAACATTTCCAAAACCATATGCTCATTCATCATTTAATGTTCCTTTTTTAATGTTGCTTGTTGTGCTTTACAATATAAATATAATTATATAAAATATATAATACATAAAAAAATATTTTAACTGCTATATTTTAGAAAGCTCAAAACTCATATCATTTATATTATAAGGAGTCAAATTATACAGCTTAATCACCATTCTAAACACTTTACTAAATGCCAAAAAATGGAATTATTTCATTATTCGTTTACTTTAAACTAAAGGTTACACAACGGAATCTTGACTGTCCGTCATTTTCAAAAGTCTTTTTCTCCACACTTTCCAGTTTTACAAGTCACTGCTTGCCTGGGAGGGGGGGGGGTTTATCAGCTGCAGATGGCAGTGAAGAGAAGCGATAGAACCCTTACCATTACTAAAACTCAGTAATGGTAACGGTTTAATCGCCACCCTCAGACGGAATCCCTGGGGGGTGTCTGCGCGTCGGTCTGAGTCTGGCGGCTGACTGACACCCTGGATAGTACATCATCTATACTGTAGTGTCTCTATAACGAACTTACAGTATATGATGATATCCTGTCAAGGGCTCAAGATATTACAAAGACAGCACTTCTCCATCTGATCCACACTGTGAACATAATATTAGAAATATTAGAAAATTAGAAAATCGTTGTAGCATCATATAGCATCACATCCGTATATTTGCTTGTGCATATAGTGGTAGCTTGTATGCAAGAACCAGAATAAATAAATTTCCTGGTAAAAATGAGGCACTTGTAAAATTCTTGGGGAGCAGAAAAAATTTTAAAGGTCAAGGATGTGGAATTGTAAAAATGCAAAAGGTTACGCCATGGCAATTTCAAACATAACGTTTGCTTAAATATGTACAATTCGTGACAATATACCTCCCTCTCCAAGCAGATGAATTTATACTCATCAGATCCACAGTTCACTAATTTATGTATCTAGATTTGAACAGTAATATAAATGAATAAATTATAAATGAATAAATTACATGCATGTCTGCAGAGATCCTATCTAAATGACAGAGATATTCATACTAGCCTGTGACAAGGTCTAATCATGACCTTTGACCGTTTCAGAAGCAATATTCATTGCTTCAAGTTCTCACCTTTCGAGCTGCACTCCGCAGGGAGAAAGTGTTAATTACAGGTTTAATGACGCCTCCTCATTGTCCCACGTCCTCCTGCCGCTTGCGCTCCCCTGAGACACTGCAGGTCCCTCCCAACCCTGCTTTTAATGGCCACGCCTCATTTGCATACTGTGATGACCTCACAGCTGCTTCTCCTAACACTCTTGAAAGGTTTTTTTTTTAGCCAATAAAATTTCCTTCCAATATCAAATAGTAAACAGCTACACAACATCATTATCATGATGATTAACACAAACCTGAAAGACTGCCAAATTCCGAATGGTTTCAGTTTATAACTGCTGACCCATTATCAAACTTTACTTAAATGCTTCAATAAACTTAAGAAAAATACACCAAATGATATTGCTACTGTATACATACAATTCACTAGCAGCCAATTACATCTCAAACCTTAGTAATTGCAGGCTGCAGAAGACTGTGAATAGCTAAAGAGAATGACTATTAGATTTCTTTGGATAAAATCTAAGTGGATTTTGAATGATCTTGCTCTTATATTTGAATTTAAAATGTTGAACGATACACACTGAAACGCATGCTGGTAGACTAAAAAAAAACTTTGCACTCATTTGTCTATATATTAAATTTCTCTATTTATAAATGTCGACATTTCAAGACTTTTAGTACAGATCAGATTTTATAGGTATCAACAGCAGCATTTGTTCTGTTTAAAAATCAACCTGCATTTAACAACAGCTCACAGAAATTTTATCCGTAGCTGACTCTGTCACACGTTTTCTCTGAATGGTTTTTGTGGTGACCAGGAAATTGTGTAGACTGGACCCGTAAGCATATGCGGATTGTCTGTAAATGGCCATAAAACAGCCTGAAAAGGATAAAGTTGTTTGTTTGTTTATTTGTGTAGCCACAAATGAAATTCCCAAGCTGTGCAGCTTAAGCAGATGATGCAAACGTGGCTTCTCCAGTTGCCATGGAGACAGGCTCTCTGGACAGGGTGGGGACGGCGCCAGGCCCACGGGTGCTGGGGTTGGGTCTGCTGATAATGAGAGGGTGCTGCTATCTGGGGGCGCCGCACGGCGGGGGCACGCCACGCTGCTTCATTATCAGCATCACGGCCACATGGGAAGTTCTGGGAAACGTCGGTCACATACGGGGAAGGAGGACTTTGAAAGTGCAGACAGCGTAAATTTAAAATAGAAAAAAAAACTAAGCATAAAACAAAGATCTACAATTTAATGAAGATTCACAATAAAACTAAACTGCAGGTTTAGAATTGTATTATGTTTAAAATTACAGCAATAAAACCACAGTCCTGGGATTATTGCTTCCCACAAACTGCCCGGAACATTCTCTGTACTGACTTGACTTGAAATAAAGGATATTGACTTGATATTGATATTGAATAGACTGACTTGACGGAGCTGCAGAGGCCATAACCTTATGTTATAATAGGCTAGAGACTGACCTGTTTAACAAAACTTAAACACAAGTCACATTACGCCAGCAGATGCATTTACGAGCAGCTAATAAGCAATGAATTGTCGGATTTTATCCAAAGTTTTCTTTGTCACATTTGCAGTTATACAGTGTGCAGCAAAATGGGTTCCTACTCAGCTCCAGGCTGTGAAGAGGGGACATACGTATCAGGGACATAAGAATGAAAGGGACATACAAATAAAGAGATATGACATTAGACATTAAACAATAAACATTAATTATCATAAATATCTGCTGTGTGCAATTGGCAGTAAAGTGCAATGATCTAAGAGTAAATAAATATTTACATATGCACACTGTACATGTGTGGGCTAAGGAGGCTGCAGAGAGCGTTAGTGTGCAGGTCCTAAACACTGTGCTCATTTAGGACCCGAATTCCCTGTAGGATGAAGCTCTTCCTCCGCCTTCCTCTGCTGGCCTATAGGGGGCAGTAGCGCTTCCCCACCCTCGGCATAGAGAAGAGGCCAGTGCTGTGGTGGCTGGGATCCTTAATCATCTTCATGGCCCTGGTTCTGCATCGTTTGATGTAAAACGTTTGGAAGCTGGGGAGTGCACGTCCCATTGTGTGTTCGGCTGACCGCACAAACCTCTTCCGAGCCCTGTGGTCCTGCTGTGTGCTGTTTCTTAGTACTGAGGGGGGCAGCCTGAAGCCCCTGAGATGCCTAAGGTGGTAGAGGAGTCGGTGAGCCTTCCTCACTGAGGAGTCAGTGTGCAGGGACCAGGTCAGGTCCTCCACTATGTGAACACCGGGCTCTCTGAAGCTGCCCACTCTCACCACTAAAGCACCATTGTCCTGATGTGACGCTAGGCCCTCTGCTGTTTCTTCCAGAAGGCCACAACAAACTCTTTTATCTCGTTCTTATTGAGGAAGCGGCTGTTTTCCTGGCACCATAGTGACAGCTTCTTCACCTCCTCCAGGTCAGCCTACTCGTTGTCGGTATATAGGGAGCACAGCAAAGGCCACCGGACACAGCCCTGGTGGGGGAGTTGAAGGGGAAGACTCGAGGGTGAGACTCGAGGGTGAGATTGAATGCTGTCCATGTTATTTATCCTAAATAAACAGTTTGTTCGCATTTTATTTCTTTGTATCCACAACAAACATATAAACTGCTACAGATAAATAAATGTAATGTGGAAAATCTCCACATTAGTTCTTTTTAATAAAAATGTCATCTTAGAGCAGACAGACATGAGAGGTTCGTTCCTGCACTTATAGTAAAGCATGGCCTTATCCTGAAATGGCTCATTTACATGTTAATGTACAGAAATTCTCCTGGTGAGATGAAAGGAACCTGGAGCACACCTACAAACTGCAAGGCAGCTAGCAGAACTCCCTCGTTAAAACCAGCCGTTTAAAGATCTCTCCGACACCCACTCTGCTTCGTACTCCGTCGGCCTTTGCTTGAACCCTGATATATTTAAAGGCGCCATCCCAACAGACTAAGTGCACTTTCTATTCCTCCAAGTATTTAGCAACATATTTTTAAATTCCCATCGTAGCTCAGGCAGATGAGGTGTAAAGTCTTTGTTGTATAAAAGAATACATTGAAATGCTAATTGTGCACTATTTATAGCGATTTATGATTATAATTTAATGTTTCTGGTTTTATATTTATTGTCATGTCTCTTCATAGTCCTGTCCCATAAACTTGAACTAGGAAAAAATGCATTTCACTGCATATTCTACTGAAAACAACTGTGTGTGGTGATTGATAGCGGATAGCGGACCTCCTCGATGCTAAGCAGGTAGCCACTTCGCTACATGCGATTATTCTTTCTGCTGGTCCTACAGAATAATGTGGGCATAGCGATTAAACGTGATATGTAGCTGCAAATTTCAGAAGAGAAAATGCATCATTATGTAGATTAGATTAGATAGATCAGATAGATCTTTATTGTCACTATTACAAAAACAGTGAAAAACAGTTTAGCAGTTAAAGTAATAAATAAGAAATAAGAACAACAAACAAAAAGAATCAGCCATCCTCTTACAGTGTGAGTGTCTGAGTACAATGTGAACAATGTGTCAGTCCGAGGTAGTGTACGCTTCATGACCTGCCCTAAGCATACTTGTCTGTATAGCATGTATGTATAGTATATATAGTATGTATAGCAATATGCTAGGTGCTGTTTGGGAAATGAATATACGTGTTTATTTCTACTTCTTCTTTCCCAAAGGAGATCCCGGATCGGGAAGCACCATCACACCGTGCCAGAAAGAGCCATGACAGACCGGAACAGGACAGCAGGACTGATGAAATGAGGCAGTAGGGAGAGACGTGAACTCTGCCAGGAAAGCAGTCTGCTGGCCCGGCTTCCTGTAGTGATGGCAGGACAGCTGCTCAGGTGATTAACGATTAACGCCTGCAGGAGGGGTTTTGAAGTGCAGCCGTGCCTCTGATGTGGCCCGAATCAATCCCAGACTGTGAGAGACAGGAACGGGACATCAAAGAAAGCCCAACCACCCCGACCAGCTTCCCACACCAGCACCACATCACCAGAGAAGGTTTTCGGGATTAAGCATATTTCTGCATCCATCAGATGTCCAGTGGAAATTAGTAATCTGCAGCAGGAAGTGCTACGGCATGTTTTATACGAGGAAAGGGCATTCAGTGACTGTCCCTTTCCCATGAAACCTCAGCTAAAGGACTCTACTTAGTGCCCAACGGGTAAGTTTCCATGGACAGAGAGATATTCCACATTCTCTAATTTAATTAACATTGTCATGGATGGTTATGTCATTTATGCATATGCACAAATTATGGATTATGAGTAACAGACCTTAAGCACTTGATCTCTTTACATTATTCCTTCGTAAAGGCAATATTGTGTCCTGTAATGGATTGCAAAAAATATGTTTTCAGCATAATCGTTTTATATAATGATATATTGTGGTGGAATTGCTTATGTAATAGATGCAAAAACGGTGTGGGTATTAAAAACCCAATTTGTGTGCCGCTGGGCGGCATGGAGCGACACCGCCTTGGGATGGAGCCGGGCCCCCAACGAGAGGCCTGCAGGTCCGGGATCCGTGGGACAGGTTCCGGCAAATAGGAACAGAGATGGTGATTACCAAATCCGGCAGGTAGAGTGCAGGAATGAAGCAGAATGACCCGATCCTGGTAAAGAAAAGCTATTAGTATGGATTGTAGCATTCTATTTAAAATTAGATGGACAATTGTATAATTTATAGCAATTATATAAAGCATGTGGATTTAAAAAAATTATGTCTGTAGCAATAAATAAAAATTGCAGGTGCTGTGTGAGTAAAATATCCACCAGCATACAGCTTCTGTTCTGGACTAGAATAGTTAATACAGAAATATTCCCTTGGAAAATGTTAATAAGGCTTTTAAAATGATCTCACCTATATACCCAGGCCTGCATTCGCTGTCTGCCTTCATTAAATGTGTTTATTGGCAATTTATGTCTGAGTTTCCCAGGCTTGTGTTTCCGTGCTGCAAAGTCACGGGTCTGAACTCCAAGGTGCAGAACGTGCTGCTGTGGACATGGTATCTTTCGATGACAGCAAGTACATACAGCAAGTAAAATACATATAAATATAAATATAAATAAATATACGCATAGAGGAAGCGCCCCTAAGCGGCTCGGCATCCGTCACGGTGATAATCTCGTGGCAGGATCATTTCGTTTAGCTACCACTGATTAATGCAACTACTAAAAGTATCGCATGACCGTGATGGACAGATGGACAGATATACAGATGGCCAGAAACAGCATAATCAAATGCGCTTTTCCTCTATTTAATACGGTAAATCGCTGAAGAGTCTTAATGTGAATACGTTTTTTTTCTGATTAACATTATCTTCAGTCAGTTTAAAGAATCTACTCGTCAACATCACATTATGTACTGAAAACAAAATTTAAGTAACTTAGAAAAAGGTTGGGACACCATGAAATTTAAAAGCTCTACATGGCTTAAGGTACGAACAGGAAGGCAGGATTAACAAATGATGTCTGAGTGTCCGACTTTGGACTGGAGCGTTTATGTCTGATCTCTGTCTCTCCGGCCTCTCCCTGCTCTTGTTGTCCGTCCAAGGACAAGGACAGGTGGGAGGTGACTGGCACGGCAGAGCCACCCCCCCCCCCCCCCCCCCCCCCAGCCATTTCCGCATCCACCTGAATTCTCCTGCTGCTGGGGATGCAGTATCTGATATCCTTCCACAAGCTCAAGCTGACCAATAACACCTTCAACCGCAGCGGCCCGGCAAGCAAAATAAGACCCCCGCCAACCCCCCCCCCCGAAACTGAAACAAACTCGCTTTCGGTTTGGCAAAGGCAGGCGGCATGTGGGCTTCCTGAAGACCAGCTGAAATGCCATCTTGGAGGACATGTAAATGTAAATGCCAAGGTCACAGAAGGCTGACAGCGTTCCGAGGGCCAGCGTCTGTCACGCCGGCTTCCTGCTCCGCCGAGGGTGACCAGCAGAGCAGCCAGGAAGGATCTGTGCTTTACTGCACTTTACTGCACTTTACTGCACTACATGCACGGTGATGCTCCTGTCCCCTGCGACCCCTGCGGCCACAACAACATACAGTAAATTGCCACACCCCCACTCTATTTATTCCCCCCAACCCTGCAGGTTCTCTCCGCTTGGCGTGATGAGGTCAGCAGCCACGCCTGCACACGCGTGTGCCCAGCCCACACCCCCCGACCCCACAGGTTCTCTGCACTCCTTTATCATCATGGCAGAACCTGATGAATGACAGAGAGATGGTGGCCAGGCTGCCCCCCAGAGGGCGCCGGCGGGCAGCAACCCATCCCTGCTCATGGCCTATGTCTGTCCACCAGGTGGTCCTGCGGAACCCAGAGCCGGGTAAGCCACTTAGCGGAGGGAACGCTCGGGTGACGTTCCCGGAAGTCGCCTTCATGGCCCTGACAGCTTATCGGAACACAGAGGTACGCAGCCCGACACCCTTCATCTGCCACAGAAACTGTTACCTTTCTCCTCATTCAGTGTCCTATATGTTCTTGCCCACTCCTACGCCTGAGTGCTGTTCTATCAGGCTCTGCAACCTACCCCTCCGAACAAGCGAACCATGAGGGTCCACCTGAATACATACAGACAGGGTCGGGATGCTTGGCCGAGCGTTACAATGGCTCAGATGCCTGGTCTGAGCAATATTAAATTTGGTGTTTCAAGAATCTCAGAAACAGCCACTCTCCTGGCATTCGTAAATACTCCAGCACAAAAAGAACAGCGGAGTGCTGAACCAATGGCATCCAGAAAGGCTTATCTGGGCCCACAACTTGTCAAGCCTTAAATAGATTACAGAGAAAAAATGTGGATGCAGGGGTACATAACAGTGTATGTACTTACTGCCTTACTGTGGCAAATCTCAATAATGCTTTGAATAAAAATTTGATAAAAATCTATGCAGTTTGTAGTTAAAGATTTCGCAAGTAACGAACTTTGCATTTTGTTGTGTTATACTTCCATCTAGTGGTCAAATATTTAAATGGAATTTTTTTAATGTGTTGCGCTATTTAAACTATTGCCTCTAGTGCAGTTAATTTTGAATGGTTTAATGTATTTTTGTCTTTCGCAGATAAAAAAAGACTCAATATACACTATAATACTTTTGCCAAGAGCTTTTGAGATCAAGGGCTAGACAACAAAAGGCAAAATTATGGCAAATATGTGAAATGATACATAGAGGTGCTGATTTAAAGCACAATGGTAACAAATTGTAAGACATGTCATTTTAAAGAACAAACAGCAGCTTTCTCTTAAAGTACACTGTTGTTCAGTTTTCCTGTGTATTTAGGTAAAGTGATAGGATAAACTGATCAACATCAAAACGTCTTTTCTGTGCCTGCAGGTACAGAGCGAAAGGAAATCACAGTCTCTGCAAGCAGTCCATGAAAGGTGACCACTGGGTGACACTAAGTGGCCCCTCTGATACTCACCCTCCATACACACTGTGTCTCTGCACAGCTGCCTGACTCATTTGTAGCAGGGAAGGACATTTCAGGCAGAATTGCTCGCGGAATTTCGTCAGTCATTATTTAAATAATATTCAAATAACCGCACCTGCACTACACAGAAATACATGCATGGATGTACAAAAATTCTTCCCATACAAACTGAGATAATAGTCCTTGCTGCAAAATGATAATATAAAACATTTAAAGTAGCTTGAATAGATTTAACTGAAGCAGAAATTGAAATTAAAGTGAAGAGATGGCCTAAATGGAGTAGCAAACAATAACGTTTAATACCTCGGACAGTTGTGTGCGAAAAGTGTGTGGAAAGGGAATTGGACATCAGGAGGGGCAGCATATTGGGTCTGTTATGTCACCTGTGCTGGAGGAAGACTGCAGTGATGTGGACTCTGATTATCTGTGAACACCGCGGGTCTCGCGTGTTTAAAAGAGGGGGGCGTGTGGAAAGAAAGTTGGACATCGTTAGACCCGAGAGGGGAGGCATATTGGGTCTGTTATGTCTTAGGCAAGACGGGATTGTTTTGAATACTGTGTGTCCTTGTCTCACATTAGCCTGCACATACTCAGTTCTGCAGGCCCTGAAAACCTTGGAGGGACGGGCAGCGGAAAAGGGGGGAAGAAGCCACCCGCAGGAAGGGATTCGAAGCTGCCCCAACCGGTGCACAGAGAGATGTAGGTATGAAGCAGTCGCAGTAGGTCATACGTAATATGTTAAGCAGTACTACAAATGTATAAGTAATTATCACACATTAATCACATGTTAAGCATGTATTTACAGTAAATCAGTATCTATATGAGCAAAATGGGTGGATGTACCCTGCTGCCAAGGTGAACCAATAGAGGAGGAGAATTGTATTTGTTATACGTTTGAGGTTGGTTTGTTGGTGTTTGGTGACCAATTAATACTTAGAAGTCCTTATAGGGAATTGGGTGTTATGGTTTATCACCTCTTTGTGCTCTTTGTCCTCGGGGTACCTGGTGCCGGAGTGTGACTGGAGCGCTTTGCTGGATTGCTTGAATAAAAGAGATTACTTTGCTCACCAACTGTGACGTCCGGAGTTTTATTCTAAGTGGCCTAACTAGAGTTACTAGAGAAGTTGATTTATAATTTTTCTATCACAATTTGGCACCCAGTGTGGGGCAGCCAAGTTCTCTGCTTGTTCCAGACGAAGGGATCCTGCAAGAGAAGCGGGTAGGGCGTAGCTTAGCGTAGAGCCAGACGGGACCAGATCCGGACAAAATCGAGGATTGGCCCGGTCCCTCATCGAGGAGCAACGGAGACCACACTGTCCCAGACCTGAACATTCCTGAGACTAATTTTACCGGACTTTTTTTGGTGAGGTAAAAGCTTCTCTGTTTATTCATTCTTGCTGCTGCTTTTGCTTCTTGCTAAAGGTTGTAAACGCTTTTGGTAGCGTTTGAATGTGGATCTGAGTGCATGTGGCAGTCAGCCGTGGCTGCGGGATCCAAGTACGGGTGTTGAAAGCACTGACAGCGGTTTGAGAGCCGTTGGGCGAGCGCCCTGTCTTGGAGAGGAGAACGGGTTAAGCCTTATTATCCCCGTTGGCAGACAGGAATCCACCTGTGATAGGGAAAGTGTACGCTCCAAGTAATTTGTCTCTGGACGCGACCTGAGTGACCTATAAAGTGATTGGTGGCACGAGACCTTGGGAAAGTCCGTGATTGTGAGTGGCACCTCTGCAGAGAGTGTTGTTGTGTGACGGGGCACTGGACGGCAGGGAAACCGTCACCCGCTTAGGGGCCAGAAACGACTGCGTGCACTGCGTGGTGTGGCACTGCATGGTGGAGGCTGGACAGTGAATGCATTGCATGCTGTAGCACAGCACTGCGTAACAAGCCAATGACGGGTAAGATTCCTGTGTGAGGACAGGAACAACCTAAGACAGGCGCTGTCGTAGACCCCTGGCACCGGGCCGAGGGACTGTTCGGAATTTGGCCCGCTCCCGGTCCCACGGGAGTTAGAGGTAGCGATAAGACTGTATGTGCTGCTTTTTAAAAATGTGTATGTGATAAAGGGTGTGGTGCTGGTGGTCTCCCAGGTGCTGGTGGTCTCCCAGGTGCTGGTGGTCTCCCAGGTGCTGGTGGTCTCCCGGGTGCAGTGTCCTCAGTGGGATTAAAAGATACATCGAGTTGATTTTGCTCTGCATTGTCGCATACAAGTGTTAACATTAAATAGAATGGCCCTGTGGACTAACATAGCACAGAGGTGTCTGGGAAATCAAGTGCTGGGTCTGAGATATACAGACTAGGTCGAGCTTATTAGTCTTGCTTTCAAAACAGCCAATGTTTGGAGTTACACTTGGTTCTTTTATGATTCTTCGTCACCCAGTGACAAGGAGCCTTGTTGTTTAGTGGCCGCCCAGCAGCTGCATGGTGAAACTCCAAACCTGTAAGTGGTGAAAGTTGAGCAGCTGACTGAAAAGGAAAGATGTGTGATGGGTAGCAGAGAGGACGGGGGGGGCGGATCCGGCTGCTGCTGTTTCTCCGCCTGTAGCTGATGCTGAAAAAAGGAAAAAGCCCAATTCAGATCTCCTGTATCCGGCCCTGCCCGGAGTGTCTCCTCCTCCACCGCCACCGCCTGCACCTCGTCCTCCTGCCTATGTCCCTCCTCCTCTGGGGAGAGCTGAGCCCTCTACCCCTGCTGCCGAAGAAGGGGGGGGCGGTGGGACCGATGCCGCAGCCTTCTGTGAAACAGGAAGAGTCGCTCCATGATGAGGTTGGTGAGGATGACCAATGGGATGATGATGATGAAGAAGAGCCTAGAGGCCAGGACAGTAAAGGTCGTTCATGCCGGCAGGGAAGGGGAAAGCATCAGTTTAATCTTGTGAAGGTCCCAAACCATCGACCTGGAGGACACCCTGTCATGTTGGTGCAACGGACCTGGGAGCCTGGTGAGGTAAAGGAGGTGGCTGAATCTCTGCCTGACCCACTGAAGTGTAGAGGAACTCAGATCTATGCGGCAATGAAGGATGTGGATGGAGCATACCAGCCCAGCGCTTGGGAACTGGGCCAGGTGATAAAGAAGAAGTTGGGGCCCGCATGGGCTGCTCTGGGGATGTCGTGGGACACCGGGATACAGAGATCAGATGGTGCTAGGAGGGCCTACCAGATGAACACCCTGGAAATTGCTCTTATAGCTCGTTTTCCCACAGCGGTAGACTGGTCTCGCCTGTATGCAGCTCAGCAAGGTGATAAAGAAGATGTGTATGACTGGGAGCCTGATAGAACAGCACTCAGGCGTAGGAGTGGAACAGCAGGGAAGAATGATGCCTGCCTTCTACGTGGAAGGAATGCGGCCCAAGATTCGAGAGCCCCAGAAACAATTTTGCCCCCACTGGAGGGAAAAGGAGATGAGCAATCTGAGAGCTTTGGCCCAGAACATTGAGAGGAATCTGAAGGAGAAAGAAAAAAGAAAGGGAGAAAGAAAAGAAAAGGAACATGAATTGCTCCTCCGAGCGAAGGCTAAGTTTGTGACAGATAATCCAGGGAGATCCCAAGGCAGAGGAAGAGGATGGGGTGCTCCACCTGCAGGACATGGAGGAGACAGGAAATGCTGGAACTGCGGAGATCTTAATAATTTCTCCAGGAACTGCCCTCAGCCTCGGACTGCGCAGGGGATCCAAGCTGGAAGAGGAAGAGGGGCAAGAAGATTAGGGCCTGTGGTGAGCTATGCCTGCCACCAACAGGGACATTGCCAGCCAGGGTCCCAACCAGGGTGTACAGAGGAAAGGGGAATATCCTATGGGAGCTACAAGGTCAACAATCAGAGAAGGGGAGGTGTCGGGAGTTCCTAATTTCTCCCTATTGTCCTGTCAACCTGCTAGGAAGAGACTTAATGGGGAAATTGGGGATGAAGGTGGAAGTGGGGGAAGATGGTTTCGCAGTGACCTCAGAGGCTTTGGGACTGTGGTGCTTATTGGAGGAAGAAAACCTTACAGCTTGGTGTCTCGCGGATGACACAGTCCTGAGAGACTGTGCCCCTGAAGGACAGGAACAGCCTGAAAGATTGCATTGCACTGCTCAGTTTTCAGGAAAGGGGGGGGGGCTGAGTGGATAAAGGAGTTTGAGAGAGAGGGAAAATCGGGAGGGACTTTTGTGCTTGATTAGCTCTACGTGGCAGAAGATCGATCTGCTGCATCTGTGGGAGGTTCGGTCCCTCGTGTCATATGGGAAAAAGGGGTCATTGGAGTGGAAGGAGTTAGGGCCTTGGATGGGGGAGTGTGAGAAAAGGGGTGAGCGGGTGCACATGGAAGACGGAAGGGGGAGGAGTGGAGACAGACAGGTGCAGAAGTATAAAATAGACCCGTGTGTAGAGGGATGCAGGAGAAGGAGGTGAGGAGAAAGGTGAGGAAGCACTGCCAGAGTGGCTAGGGGAGGTGCCAGATTGCTTGTGGGCAAAAGGGAAAACGATGTTGACAGAGTGGTGTCAGCTGAGCCTTTGGTGGTCCACCCCAAGTCCGACTTTCAGACTCACAATGCCCAGTATCCCTTATCTAGAGAAGCAGAGGAGGGAGTGAGAGAAGTACATGCAGATCTGGTGAAAAGGGGGGCTATTAAGGAAATAGCCTATTCTCCAGTTAATTCTCCTATCTTACCTGTGAAAAAGGCAAATGGTACTTGGAGGTTTGTAGAAGTTCTGAGGGGTGTCAGTGCAGCCATACACCCCAGGCTCCTATTTATTGTACCCAATCCAATTACAATTCTGGCTTCCAAACCAGCGGAGGCTAAATGGTTTCCTGTCATAGACCTGGTTAATGCGTTCTTTTCTATCCCAGTAGATCCAGATTCCCAGTACTGGTTCACCTTCACCTTTCAGGGAGCGCAGTGGACCTAGACAGTGATGCCCCAGGGTTACACAGAGTCACCCACTATGTATGGTGTATAGGCAGGAGCTGGCAAATAATTTGGGGGGGTTCACTGCGCCTGGGGGCCGCACACTGGTACAGTACGTGGATGATTTGCTGCCTATCATGTCTGTAAACAGGACGGCAGAGCTCTGTTAGACTTCCTGGCAACAAAGCGTCCAAAGAAAAGCTGCAGCTGGTGTCACAGAGTGTGAAATACCTGGGACATGTGTTGACAAGTGAGGGAAGGTTATTAGGACCAGAACGAGTGGCCTCCATACAGGAGATGCCCAAACCAAAGACTAAACAGCAATTGCTTTCAGTCCTAGGCATGATTGGCTATTGCAGGCCTTGGATTTAGGACTATGCACAGAGGTCACAGCCTTCGGTTGATCCAACAATTGGACTTGGACTGACAGACAGACTGACGCCCGACACTGAAGACGCTCTGACTGATTTAAAACAGACGTTAATGTCAGCCCCAGCTTTGTGACTGTGGAAAGGTGCTCTGCTTTGAACCCAGAGACCCTCCTTCCCGCGAAGCAGGATGGGGAACCACATGACTGTTTACAGGTAATTGACTACATTTGCAGACCTAGACCGGATCTGACTGACATCCCACTGGAAGGAGGCACTCTTTGAGGCTGGAGGATGGATCACCAGAGACTTCCTATGCAGTGGTCCTGCAAGATGGATCACTTGTGGACAGAGGACAACTGCCCAGACATTGGTCTGCACAGGCTGCTGAGCTGTTCCCACTGCAACAGGCTTGTAAACTGGCTGAAGGACAGAGAGTCACTCTCTACAGAGA